TTAGTGTCTTTGAAGCAGATACACATTTACATGGAAGGGAACTTGGTATTCCATATCACTCAGAATAGAAGGTGAAATTAGAAAAAAAAAAGTAATGAATATTTACAACAGGTAAGAAAAAAAATCATATCTACCCTACTTACTATGTAAAATTCAATACCTTCCCAAAAAAACCCTTAAGAAACAACTTAAACTTTGAAAGAGCTTATGAATTTCAAGTAACAACCTTGCCTGGAATTTCTTATAAATCATTCTACAAACAGCTGTAGCACATTTTTTTTTACATTAAACAGGATATTAAACTTGATAGGAAACTAGTGTGACTTCAGTTGGATTCCCTTTGTTCCAAGGATTTTGTTTTAATAAATCACTAACCACATTCAAAAAAGCAGCAGCCGAACACAAGGTTCTAGACAGACTTTCTATCCTGGATGCAGGGTATAAGTGGAAGAGGATTATTACCATCACCCTCAGCTACAACAGCCCAATGAATACGTCCTGGTTTATTTTTACTAAAATAAGTGGACACACATCCTTGAAAAAACAGGCAAGAGTTTAAACACACACTGAACCTAAGTGAGCATAAAAATAATTTTTTGATGGGATGCTTCTGTATGCCCCTAAACACTGCAGTTCAAGTGATCTCTAAAGCCTTTTTAGAATCTTTATAAGAGCATGGGACTGCTGCTGACAAATAACTGAAGTCCCAAACAGGCACACAAGCATGCTTACACAAGATACCCAGGAATGCACATACTTACACTGAGAACTAAAAAGTGCCCTGAGCTCTTAGAGCTTAGTACTGTACTTTACTCACTTAAAAGGCTAGACCAAGGTTTACTATTCATGTTTGCAGAAGCATTGCTTAGTTTTTATAATAGGTCCTATTACCAATGTTCATCCTGTTGAATCTGATACACATCATGCTTCTAAAAAAAACAATCTTTCTATGCGTACATGTCTGAAAAGAGAGTGGCTACACACACATAAAAAGAAAATTTGCAGCAGACTAAACAGCAGCAGCAGAAAAAAAAACATTCTCCCTACACGCTCAATTTAGCACTTAAGAAACAACCTAAGCACTGGGAGTGAGGTTTATGCTTGTTTTCAGAGCAGAAAATCTAGCTTCATCTCTCACCAGTGCATGTAACATCACAACACAGAGTAAGGCACACTTCATAAACTTAGAGGTGGCCATAAACCTGATGGGTCTGAGATTATACCCTGGAGATACACTGACAGGAGGAAACCCTGGAAACTGACACTGCTTTTCCTCACACTCCCATTAACTAACAATATTTAAACTCTGTTAGCCATCAACAAACAGCATTGTATGATTAGGTCAGATTTTAAATAATTTTAAAACAATAATAATAACAAGGTGTATCTCTGGTGAGGTAGGATCCAAGATAAATGCAGCTCACATAAGCACATATATTTTCATTGCAAAAAAAGCAAATCATAGAATCACAGCACAGAGTATTCTGTACTTAATGCTGTCTGTGTAAAGAGGCCCCAATGAAATTTTCAGGGGTGTACTTTAGAACAGGCAAATATATTTTCATTTGCTAGTCCCATTCTAATACAAAACAAAGAATCCTTGCATAAACATAGTTTTAAACCTCTTTAAACTAAACAGGAAAATTGACCAATGTTGCTTTTGTATAGTCACATAATCCTAAAGGTTAGGCTATGTAACAAAATGATGATGCAGCTATGACAAATTCTTGCAACTGTGTGGCTTCATTTCAGTTATTCTTACTATAATAACCTAGTTCTGCTATTGTTATCTTATTACCATTAATGAATTCTAGGTACATGCTACTGTTACACCTTCATTTCAATAACCTAAGAAGTTTATTTTATTTATTTTTAAATAATACTCTCACAGGTAGACAGTATAGATTCACCCATCGTGGCCCATTCAAAATTACCTAAAGAACAACAGCCAGAGACAAAACACAGTGTAAAAGTTACTAAAACATTAATAGACAGTACAGGGAGATTAAGTTTCAAGTCACCAGTATGGCACCACAGCTCACCCTCTCTCCTTGCTGCAGCTGCTGCGAGCATCTCTGCGGCGGGTCCCTGCCAAACTGCGTGAAATCTGGGGGCAGGAGAGCTGATTCCCCGGGACCCACCTTAAGCAGAGAGACAACTGAAGTACCAGGTTACGTTCCACAGCAAGCCACGCAGGCGGAGGGAAGGGGCCAGGGCCGCCCTCCCTGTCCCGCCGGGGAGAGGCGGGGTGTGACTGTGAGGGGGTCGCCTCGTCGGGGCAACCCCTTATGCTGCAGGAAATCCGAAAAAGGTGATTTACGGGCAAGGTTCATTCCCATCCCACTGAGCTGACAGTTCAGATGAAAAGTATTAATCTGGGCCCTGAAAGCTTGTTAAATAACGAACTTTACCCTTAGGCTGAAAAAAAAACCGGGGTGGGCGGGGTTGGGGGGGAAAGCAGTGTTGCACAAGCTTATCGGTGCCCACTTGCTGCAGAACATGCCCTTGCAAGAGCTCTGTATGAAGAACTACTACTATTTATATCTGTAACGCTTTCAAGTTGCTGCAAATCTCTAGACAAGATTAATACATGAAAATTACCTGCTTAAAAACACGATATCCTTATTTTCTGCCCAGCTTTTTCTATGCTGGAGGACCCTCAACTTCATCCACACTTTTTGAAGTGTTTTTTAAAGCTAAAGTTCCTAATGTAGGAGTAGAGGGAAATAAAGATAATGTGTAAAAAGCTGACTCAAAGGACTGCATAACCTGCACTTAGGCATCGGCTTAACATGGAGTAACATGGCATATGGATGGGAAGTCAAAACAGAGGAAGCATAGCACCTGTGAATTTCATTGAAGTTAACAAAGTTCAAGCAGATACTTTATACTGACAATACAATCATATTTTCCTTGAAACAATTATTTGCAGCTTACTTATTTAATCCTTTCATAATTACTTCAGATATTCATCTCAATATTCACTCATCACAGTAACAACCTATGCAGTACTCACTCAAACCATTCCAGCAAAAGCAACAAAATCACAATTAAAGACTTCCAACATGACTAAATCTCTTTGGAACCAGTCTTTCTCTGCTTACTACTCACCAGTAGTCAGGCACAAAAACGTTTTTCTATTAACGTAATCACTTAACACATGCTATCCCACTCACTTCCCAGTCTCTTGACCTTTCCTTCCTTTGGTTTGCTGACAGTTCCTCTTTTTCCAGAGAGTACTTGCACTTCCACACAATGCAGGACAGTGGCAGCTCCCAAAGACTTCGAGGTTTCTTCCAGAAACAGACTGACTGTCCACACCATGTGCATGGGATCTGAGGTGAATACCTTCACTATCAGCTGTTCTACCTCAGCAGTTTAAGAGTACAAAATATTCACTGTGCTCCAGTTTCGATTCTTTCTATCTTTTGAGCATAAACTATTGTGAGGCTTTACAACTCAAATGCTAGTTCCACCCAGTAAATATCTGACTTACAGTCATGGGTTGTAAAGCATTGAGGTATCTTTACCTTCCACTAAGTTTTGGGGTTTTGTCGGTTTGTTGGTTTGGTTTTTTTTTAAACTTGTATAAATAGTCTAAGTGATGAGTGGCTAACTGAATTGATTTTGTGTTTTCCTACTTTTGAATAACTTAAGTTTGAAAAACACTTGCTAAACATTTAAGTAATATGATCACTGATAGTGTATTAGCACTCAGAGTGTTGCAATGTAAGCATTTGTCTATAATCAAAATACTTATTAATTATAGACTACAGTATATAGACTGTATTAATTATAGACTACAGTATTAATTATACTACAGTATATAGACTGTATTAATTATAGACTACTGTATTAATTATAGACTACAGTATAATCAGTAACCTTTTCCATGCAGAATATTATCTGAAAAGTATGACTTCTGTGTACAACATATAGTCTACAACAGTTTGAATACCTGAAGTAAGTACAGCTAATGTACACCATCGAAACTTGACTTCCCATGTAGTGACAGTAAAATCTCCCAAATTTTTAATCAGTAAAACAAACAGCATGGGGAGGGGGGAGGGAGGAGGGAAATCAGAATATTAGCTTAGCTTTTAATCCACACACTTCCCTCCCTGCCCCATGCTGAAATGAATAATGAATGAACTGGGTCATGATTGCTTTCAATAAGTATGTCACAAACAATAAGACAAGGCTAAGAGTTGTAATATGGTCAGACCTCAGTGGTCTTCCTAACAATGCCACATGCTTATACAGCCACATACTATGCATCTTTTTTATGCATCAGCATACCGGGAACTGCAAAACCACAAGCACCAAAGCACCCAAGGTATTTGAATTTTGTTACGAAACTTACTATGCAAACAAAAATTAACAGAGAATTTGTGTCTGGAATCCGAGAATTTAAGCGCAACTTTCATTGTGCGTCTGGGCAGAACTGAGATTTTCGAGTGTCACCTTACATCTCCCGTCAACTCTGTCACGCAGCAGCAGCTCACCCAAAGCGTCAGTAACTCCAGCAACCCAGCTGCTCCCCTGAGTATTTCTCAGCCTTCCCTCCCGCGTTCCCCAGCCCAGGACCTCGCACCGAGACGCCCGCGGGGCGCGCCCCCGCTGCCAGGGCCGGCAGCAGCCGTAGCCCGCGGGCCGCTGTCCCGTCCCAGCTCCGCTACCAAAGGCGGGGCCGGGATCGCTCCCACCGGGCAGCCCCTGCACCGCGGCAGCAGCGCAGCCCGTGGGCTGCCTCTGCCCATCAGGTGTTTCGCATCTCTTTGTAAAGGCAGCTGTTCCCCACGCAGCCTGGACTCCAGCAACCTTGAAAATCCAGACACTTTAAAAAAAATTCTTCCCTCACTTTTAAGGAACCCCGCCACTTCAAAAGGCTTCTCCCAGATCTTTTCCTTGGAGCGATTTCCAAGCCGTTCCTTCAAGGGGACTCGCAGCCACATGCCTAGAGGAGCGACCTGGCATCTAGAGCGGGGGCACGGTCTTACCTTTGGCTCTCCCGCGTCGGGCTCCTCCTCATAGTACCCCTGGCCAGATTCGTAGGCGGCGGCGGCGGCCGGCTGCCGGGGTCCCAGGAGCACGGCGCCGGCAGCGAGGCAGCAGCCCAGGGAGAGCACCTCCAGCAAGTGCATGGTGCAGGGCGGAGCGGGGCCGCGGGGCAGCCGGAGGAATGCAGGCGAAATTATGAGGCTCCTTCTCTTCCTCTTCCCCCCTTCTCTCGCTGTCCTTCTCCCCCCTCCCTCCCCTCGCAATATCCAAGGCAGTAAAATCCGTGGGATGGAGAAGATGCGGTAGCAGAAGCTCGTAGACGACTGCAGGGGAGTTCCCAACTTTCCCAGCCGCTTCGCAAATTCTCACCAAAGTTATCCAGAGTTTGCCAGGTGAAAAACCCACCAGGAAACCGGACATCCGAGGCTGCGCTCACTCAGGAGCAGGGGAGGTGGAAAGCGCAGAGAGGAGGAGGAGGGAGGGGAAGGAGGGAGAGAGCCAGCGAGCAGCAGAGCGAGACCGGTCGCACCGGGGGAGTTCCCTTGTCTGGGGCCGGGGGCTCCGGGCCGAGGGGTTCTGCCGCTCCCGCCGCTGTGCCGGACGCCTGTCAGCGGCGGCGCGCCCGGGGGGTGCGCGGCGCCTGGGGCTGCGCGGCGGCGGCGGGGGCTGCGCATGGCGAAAGCGCCCTCTGCCTGCGCCTCTGCGTGCTGAGAGGGGCCGGCCGCCTTCCTCCTCCTCCACCTCTTCCTCCTCCTCCTGCTGCTGCTGCCGCGGCGGCGCCGCCTGCCGCTGGCGCCCTGTGGAGCGGAGCGGAGCGCACCGCGGGCAAGGGGCCGCCCGGGGCGCGCTGCGGCGCTGCCGGGGAGGGGAGGAGAGCAGAGCGGGCCCGGCCCCGCAGAGCTGGGCTCGTCCCGGCTTCGACGAGATGAAGCCCCTTGTAGGTCCAAGCCCAGAGGGGAGAGCAACGTGCCCGGCTCATTTCATTTGGCTCCGAAACCAAGAGCTGAAGTTGGGCACAACGTGCACAGAGGAATCATGCAAGGCAATTTCTGTGAATCCTAATCAGTTACTTGCTGAGCAGTGTTGGCAGCTTCACTAAAGAGAGTATGCGGCTATTTTTGGCCGGAGAAAAAAAGATTTTTTTCATGTCAGAAAGAGTACTATAATTACTTGTAGCCTTCCTATCAATGACATCTTGGAGCCGTCTTCGAAGAGAAGTAACACCCCATTCAGAGTCCTAAATAAAACTGAGTACAGATACTGTGTTCCAGTTACACTGTGATTAAAAGTTGTTTTTAAAAAATGAACATTGCAGTCAAAGAAACACACTACAGCCTGCTCAGATCTCAGCTATGCAAAAGGAAAAAGTTATTCTCTATACTATTATTTTTTGCTTGATGTGATCAGCATTATTGAACCTTGTGTAAATATTTAGAAAGCTTTTCAATTGTTTTCTGCATCACTTGAGTACATCTTTTGGTAACAAGACTGTATGGGAACCAACTGTGGGGGCAGATCCCTGACTGCCTTGATTGGATGCTGGCAGTCTCCTCATGTTACACTGCTCTTATTCTTCGGGAATCCCATTATGTAACTATTCTGGGAGCAACATTCTGGGTGTTATACATAAAGGTGTCTCTAGTAAGCCTTTAGGTACCTCCTGTTCTTTTTGACTTATTTCTTATAATTTCCAAGACAGTATTTCAGCTTGCTGCTACACAGATAAATTATTTTGGTGCTAGAAAGTAATCACTTCATTTGCAATCAGAATGAAATCTGAAGTTTAAATAAATCTGCATTTTGAGAGTTTGTATAGTTATTAGAAAATTATTGAAGCACTAACATTTTTTAAACACATTACAACAGAGTAAAGCAATGAAGTTAAGACACAGTAGAAGTTAAGCAGAACAGTTATGAAGATAGAAAATAGTGTACATAAATTAAAAGGCCCATTGTTCTTCATGGGACCCTTACAGCACTTCAGATCAAAGGAGAGGATTAAAGCCTAGAGAGACCGTAGTCCAGGATGCAAACCCCATCTAAATAGAACTACAGCATTACTGATTTGAGTTTAAACATGTTAAAATCTCTCAAAAGCATCGCAGGCTGATGTAGAAAGGAAGTTCTCTTGCAGCATGTAAATAAAACCTGCCTGAAAAATCATGCACAGATAATATTATTTCAGTAACTGAGTGCCATGCGAGGAGCCTTCCCGAAACTAAATCACAAAACAGGATGGAACATACCACTCCTGCTGTGCCATCATAATATCAGCTGTCTTCATTATGTACTTCCCCCATTCCCCAGCACTTTCATTCTCCCCCCCCCATTCATAGAACATCCATCATGGGATCAAACGTTTTTATGTAATAGAGCATTTCTACCAACTGGCCCGTATAGCAAATTTAACATGTATAATTGAAAACCAGTAATCATAGTAATAGTGGCTCAAGTCACAGTCTAATAAAAAGATTTAAAAAATAAAGTGGTTGAAATCTGTAATACTTTATAGATTCAGTGTACAAACAAATAAATATGCCATTGGTTCTGGGCCACTAAGGTTTTACGCAATCTAGACTGTATTTCTCTCCATTCCATAAAAGATGCCTAATTTAAAGGTTTACCCATTTAAATATATTTTCTCCTTCCACCATCTAATGATTAATATTCCTCTTGTGTCTTCAACTTAAACAGAAATCAGCCTACGGGACAATTAATTTACAATTCTAAGTGACCCTGTACACTGAGAGTGAACTGACCTTATAAACACAAATGACTCAAGAGATACCTTAACAGTATAGAGACACAGGTCTGGGTCTTACCCTGTTGTGTTTCAATGGCAGCAATTGAAAAAGAAAGGATTTTTTTTTTGTCAAAAGTAAGATTCCTTCAAAATATTTTTGTATTGTTTTAAGGATCCATTTAAAAAATCCAAGCCCCAATCTCTTGTTCAAGTTGGTGTAACATACATCTGACAAACACACTCCTCCCCTCTATCTAGACATACCTGGTATGTTCCTTTCAGATACATTCTGCTTCTAAAACACAGATGTGTTTCAATACCCGTTTCCTATTTCCAGTTATTAGCAAAATGAAAAGTTAGAGAGGAACCACTACAAGAAATGTGAGCTGAGACTGGGAAATAGAAGAGAGTCAACAGCAGCAAGAAAAATCAGTAGCATGCTTTCATAGTGTGGTCTATTTGCTTATTGTAGAGTTAAATACTAACAAATGTTTTCGCAGAATGTCATTTCTATTATCTTTATATTTATTTTTTCTGTTTGATTCAAAGCAATCTCCATTGCATTCTCCTATTAACTAGACATGTAGAGGCACCCAAGAGTTAAAACCATAAGTAGTATGGTTTGCTTTTTTTTTGTGTTGAAACTCACACTGGTAAGTTTCAGTGGAATTTTTGTTTGCTGTAAATCTCAAAGTTAGAAAACATTGTTCCCTGAGTGCAGCAACTCAAAAGACTGTGGAAGTGCCATTCTGGAGTCATTCCAAAAGATGAAGGCATTGTAGTAAGCTTCCTCAGTTCCTCTACAGATAGGACTCCCCTATATTTCCTCTCATGCTTAAAAGCATAGGAAAAAAAATGGATATTGATCAGTGTCTTAAATATCAATGTTCTATGTAGATACTGTAAATTAGCTGTAAATGTATAGTGGAAAAAGAAAGAAAAAGAAAAGGCAATTCAGATTCAGTGCCAAAGTGAACAGAACAGCTGCTCATTGATGCATTTTCTGACCTTGCATTATTCAATCCAAAGTTTTATTACACGTTTTTATCATATTACTTATCTACTCAGAGTAACCAGCTTTACAGAAGACTTAGCTACTGAAATATATTGGTACAGTGGATTTAGGCTGTAGTCCACTTCTCAAAATCTCTTATTTGTATAAAACATGATTTAGTGGAAATATTTAGGAGTACTGCCAGTTTTACTGAATAGGTGTGTAATGGACTTCCTCGCTCATCACAAGCACATTCAAAAATGTATCTTTTTTTGGTACATACCCTCATTTAGGAAAGGGTCTAAACATGGTAGCTTGAAGATCATCAATAGCAATTGAAATATTTTCCTTAACTTTGATCAGGCATTCTCACTGTAAAACTTAACCCGTGGGAACCTGTCGTACACCAAACCTCCAGCTAGGAATCCTAAAATGTAATTTTCTCCAAAATTATTGCCAGGAAAAATAACTTCAGTTCAATGAGAAAGACATCATTGGTGCAAAATCATTTGCTGCAATGCTTGACCTAGCAGCATGCATTTTATTATCTAGAAATGTCTCTTTTGTTTAGTATAAAAATTGGTGCCTTTTGAAAATTAACTAACAAGACAAGAATCCTTAGTCCTCAGCCCTTTGACTCCAGTTGATATGCAAGGATTACAGGATTATTGGGATTTCTTTGTCCTCAATGATTCCCTTTTAAACTGTTAAATTCAAAACTATTGGCATCCAGCATTAGAATTTCTCTATGCTACAGACGAAATGACTGCAATAGTGTAAAACCCTTGCAACCTTGGCTATAATAAGGGGTTAATATAATGCAAAAATAGACAGCACAAGGCTGCATCTCAAGAAAAGAGTTTGAATTACTCAAAGTAAATTACATGTCTCTAAAGCTGCCCTAAATTTAGAATGGAGAAAGCCCTAGCATACATTTTATTCAGCTGACTTATATTAGGATTTTTCTCTTTACCATGGTATTTCTTCCCTCTTGTGGTGTAAGGTCTCACAGAAGAACAGGTATGCATAGAATATTGATTTACATCCTGTAAACTGATTATGATTTTTATAACCTCTGACTATAAACAATAAAATGACTGATTGCAAATTTATGCTGGTTCTTAACTGAAAGTGGTGCACAATCTAAACTGTATAGCTGAAGTCATGTAACTAAATAAACAAAATTAGATTCTACAAAACATATTAGGATCTAACAGCACACAACCACTAAACATAAAAACACTTAGCATGATATATACCTTCCTGCAGTAGTCTTCCAAGTGACAATCTATGAGATAGCATATAAAATTCGGGAATATAACAGGACAGAACAGTCCTAAACCAATTCAAGAGACATTTCTATATAGTTGCTAAAACAATGCAGAAATAATTATTTCTATAAAGAGATGCAGTTTCCGCTAACTTTGTTCTTGCATACCTCTTCTCCACTCATATGTATTCTGCTGCATTACCTGCGTTTTTCTTCAGTGCTTCAGATTTTCTGTTCAATATTTTGCCTATTGTGGAAATTAAGAATATGTTAAACCCTTCAAATGTAAAATGCTGAAGTATTAAAACCTATACAAATTGTCAAAAAGTATTGACATAAATTTGCCTCCAAACACAGAATAGTGTAATGAGTTATTGTAATGATCCTTATTTTTCCTAAATAGGTTTTCTTTACCAAAGTAAATTCTTTTCGTCTATTTAAAATAACCTTTTACATATTTGAACACATACCCTTCCTTACTTAATCTTCTTATTTTAAGCTAAATAAGATCAGTTTTTCTGACATGGCTTTATAGATTTT